ACTTTTTGCAAATTTCAGCCTTCGAACTTTAATGAACTCCTCCTAGAGATTTTAAGCGATCAACTTCTCCTTTGGTCAGGATGCTCTTAAGACCTTTGTGATTAAAAGTTATCAAAATCGAGAGTTTTCAACGAAGAACCTTGACGTGGCGTGGCGGCCATTTTGCCTCATTGTTTTTGAAAAAATAAATTCTTATAAGTTGTTATAACTCCAAGGTACATTATCCAATCCGCACAAAACTTCTTATGCATGATGCTACTTCAAGCCTAAACATACTTCAATTGAAAAAATTTCAATAACTCATAGCCCCGCCTACTGGCTAAAGGAAATGTCATATTTTATACTTTTATTTATTCCTCCTAGCCAGGTGACCTGATGAGTGTCAAATTTGGTAAGGATAGCCTTAAGACATTGATGATGCATTATCATGAATATTCTGCATTTTCGTACAATGCTGTTGCCGTGGCGACGCATCGTTCGCCATGAAAAAGGAAGCTGATAGTTTAGTGGGTTGGGATGCTCAAAAACTCATGGAACTTTGTACATCTGTCACAGGTCATTGGAAGAAATAGTTTATATGATTTGTTTTATTGCCCGTTTTAAATTGCCTCTATAGCGCCCCCTACAATATTTCAAAAGAGCAGCCCCAGCGCTACGTTTCAGCTACATGTATGAAGGTTGGTAGGCAGATGTATCCTGTGGAGACTTACAAATAAGTCTCTTGGGACCATGCTCTAAACCCGACCGGAAGTCGGCCATTTTGATTTATGTGTCATTTTTCCATCGATTTTGGCCTATTTCTAGTCACTATACTTTAACGAACTCCTCCTAGGGACTTCATCAGATCCATTTTAAATTTTCTCAGTACCATGTCAAGACCGTTGTGATTAAAAGTTATCAAAAGCTTTACGTTTGACGGAATCGTTTAGCCGTAGCGGGCGGCTACTTTACGTGATTCCCCATGAAAAAAGCTGATGTAACTCAGCTGGACTTGTTCCAAACGGTCCCAAACTTCACATGCTTGATAACACTCATGGCCTGAGGACGTCTACAAGCTAATTTTCACAAATACTCACAGCACCACCTGCTGGCGAAAGGAAATCTGCGTTTTGTGACAAACACCATCCGATTTACATGACTTTTACACAATGTGGTTTACATTTGACACAGAGCTACATGATGCATGTTTGCACGCGTTCTGTAGCGCCAGGCAGCGGATACAGGAAGCATCGGACTATTTGCTAAGCATCATTTCCAGCATCAGGCGGTCCACACGGGATTGAAAACGTCTCGCTCGCTGACACGCCACCCGACGGTCGCGGACGTTCTCTGACGCAGAGGCTGGAGTCCCGCCGGCACCCCCGACGCGCTGCAGATTGCGAGCGCCCGTTCATCGCTGCTCGCAGCTTTAATTCTTATTTTTGTGTGGATGGAGCTTGTAGGGGTGCTTGCCATGCATGAAAACTCACCAATTTTGCACACCTGTCAGGTCTGGTGTAGAAACTCTGCTGCCAAAATTTGCATATTTGTGTGTAAAGAAATGGCTCTCTAGCGCCCCCTACAATTCGGACTTGCGGCAGCCCTCGGCCAGTTTGTCCGATTGACTTGAAATTTGACACACATGTCCACTTGAGCTAGAGCTACAAAAAAGCCTCTCAGACCCCTAAGCTCCGCCTACTTAGATTTTCCGCCATTTTGAATTTAGTCTAAAACACATTTTTGCAAACTCCTCCTACATGCTTAGTCCCATTACTACCAAATTTGCTGTGGATCATTACTGGATCTACGTCATCAAAAGTTATCAAAAGCTTTTTGATATCTCTTTTCGTTTACAAGATGTGTACCAATAAACTTCTTAGGGGCGTGGCTTAATATTAATACATATAACTTCTCAACCGTTTGTCCTAAAATTACTACATTTTCAGCATATGTGCACATTGCATCCTGTAACATACCCTGAGATTTATTTTGCATTCAACCACTAGGGGGCGCTACAGCAAACCCGCGAAGTTGTGCTTTTTGTCACTTTTTGTAGATTTCAGCCTTCGCACTTTAACGAACTCCTCCTACAGATTTTAAGCGATCAACTTCTTCTTTGGTCAGGATGCTCTTAAGACCTTTGTGATTAAAAGTTATCAAAATCGAGAGTTTTCATCAAAGAACCTTGACGTGGCGTGGCGGCCATTTTGCCTCATTGTTTATGAAAAAATAAGTTCTTATAAGTTGTTATAACTCCAAGGTACATTATCCAATCCGCACAAAACTTCTTCTGCATGATGCTACTTCAAGCCTAAACATACTTCAATTGAAAAAAATTCAATAATTCATAGCGCCGCCTACTGGCGAAAGGAAATGTCATATTTTATACTTTTAATTATTCCTCCTAGCCAGGTGACCTGATGAGTCTAAAATTTGGTAAGGACAGCCTTAAGACATTGATGATGCATCATCATGAATTTTTTGAGTTTTCGTTGAACGCTGTTGCCGTGGCGAGGCATAGCTTGCTGTGAAAAAGAAGCTGATGGTTTAGTGGGTTGGGATGCTCAAAAACTCATGGAACTTTGTACATGTGTCACAGGTCATTGGAAGAAATAGTTTATATGATTTCCTTTATTGGCCGTTTTAAATTGCCTCTATAGCGCCCCCTACAATATTTCAAAAGAGCAGCCCCAAGAGCAGCTACGTTTTGGCTACATGTATGAAACTTGGTAGGCACATGTATCCTATGGAGACTTAAAATAAGTCTCTTGGGACCATGCTCTAAACCCTACCGGAAGTCTGCCATTTTCAATTTTGTATGAATTTATACAATATTTCGACGATGCAGCCCTCGCGGTACGTTTCATTATCTATATATAAAATTTAGATGTATAACTTTTGGTAAACAGATGTATCACATGTAGACTGACAAAAAGCCCCTGGAGCTCTAAGCTCTAAACCCAACCGGAAGTCAGCCATTTTGAATTTAGTGAAAAAAACAACACATTTTTGCGAACTCCTACACGCTGGGTCCGATTTCTACGAAATTTGCTGTGGATCATAAGTGGATCTAGATCATCAAAAGTTATCAAAATCTTTTTGATATCTCTTTGCGTTTACAAGATATGGACCAATACACTTCTTAGGTGCGTGGCAAAATATCAATACACATAACTTCTCAACCATTTGTTCTAAATTCCCAAAATATTCAGCATATGTGCACATCACATCCAGTAACATACCCTGAGAATTTTTTTTGTATTCGACAACTAGGGGGCGCTACAGTAAACCCGCAAAGCCTACTGGCTAAAGGAAATGTCTGATGTAACTCAGCTGGACTTGTTCCAAACGGTCCCAAACTTCACATGCTTGATAACACTCATGGCCTGAGGATGTCTACAAGCTAATTTTCCTTAATACTCACAGCGCCACCTGCTGGCGAAAGGAGATCTGCGTTTTTTGACAAACACCATCCGATTTACATGACTTTTACACAATGTGGTTGACACTTGATATAGAGCTACATAATGCACGTGTTCTGTAGCGCCAGGCAGTGGATACAGGAAGCATCGGACTATTTGCAAAGCATCATTTCCAGCATCAGGCGGTCCACGCGGGATTAAAAACATCTCATTCGCGGACGCGCCGTCCGACGGTCGCGGATGTTCTCGGGCGCGCAGGCCGGAGTCCCGCCGGCACCCCCGACGAGCTGGAGGATGCGAGTGCCCGTTCATCGCTGCTCGCAGCTTTAATTATTATTATTTTTCTCTCGAATGAATCGCCTTTTTGGGGGCTTTATCATGTCCCCAACCTCCCCATATTTGGCGAGCATATCAGGATTGCGGGAAAATTTGATATTTTATGGCTCCCATGCTCGAGCATGACAAAATTGCTCGCTAGCGCTCCCTAGAAGTTGGAAAGGCAAGCCCCGACAGCCTGTATGTCGAAATGACTTAAAATTTTACGGACATGAGCAACTGAATGAGTTCGACAAAAAATTCCTCTTGGGACCCTAAGCTCCGCCTACCAAAATCTTCCGCCATTTTGAATTTTGTAAAAAAAAAAAAAGAAATTCACTTGTCCTAAACCCTGGGTCTGATTGGTACCAAATTTGCTGTGGATCATTACTGGATCTATATCATCAAAGATTATGAAAAGCTGTTGATATCTTATTGCATTAAGAATATATGGACGAATGCATTTCATAGGGGTGTGGCCTTCTACAGCAATATATATAACTTCAAAACCATGTGGCCTATCATCACGAAATCTGGAGCATATGTTCACACTGTGTCCTGTAACATACCCTCAAATTTTTATTCCATACAACCACTAGAGGGCGATGCAGTAATACTCCCATTTCTTTGCATTTTTGGGCATTTTTCATCGTTTTCAGGCGTTGTACTTTAACGAACTCCTCCCACAGAATTTCTACGATCAACTTCAAATTTGGTCAAGATGATCTAAAGACTTTAATGATGAAAAGTTGCTAAAATGGTCTACTGACATTGAACAACATATACATATAACTTGTGGGCACGCTGTCTGATGGTCGCAGATATTTATGGCTGCTTCTGCCGGCATTTCGCCAGTACCCCCGAGATGCGGGAAGGTGCGAGGGCCCGTATATCGCTGCTTTCAGCTTTAATTCGATATTGGATTTGTTCACGGAACATGAAGAGAAATATAAAATATCACCATGGCCAAACTTTATTAAATATATTTATTACATATATATTTATTAAATGTATTTATTACATATGTATTTATTACTGTCGTTGTTGTCATTGCTGTCTTAGTTGTTGTCATTGCTGTTGTCTTCATCGTTCTGATGACTCTGAATGTCTCTGAGCTCTGTGGGCGTCTGCAGACCAAAATATGCACATTATTTGTGTTGTGGCGGGGTGAACATGGCCAAAGTTTCACAATAAGAGCATCAACTCAAATGTCCTGTTTGATCTGACTGTGTGTGTGTGTGTGTGTGTGTGTGTGTGTGTGTGTGTGTGTGTGTCTTCCTGCAGCAATCGAGCAGAGCATCGAGCAGGAGGAGGGTCTCAACAGATCATCAGCGGACCTCAGGATCCGCAAGACACAGGTGAGACCAGGTCCTCAGGTGTCCCTCAGGTGTCAACAGTATTTTAACACTTCCTTTTCTTTCAGTTTGAACTTTCATTAAATCACAGAGCAGTAAAATAAAGTGTTTCTAAAGTCGATTTTAAATATTTCCTGATATTTTTGAGGTTATTCAGTGAAGTCATCTTCTTCTTTTTGTTTTCTTTATTTTTAACATTTTCTTTATTTAAAATTCACAAACTAAATTAGATCTGATCAGCATTCTGATCACTGATACAGAAGATCAATACTCCAGAAGAGACACACAGGAGTCCAGTAATGATTGAATGAATGAGCATGTGCCTACTGAGCATGTGCAGAGCATCTCTGCAGCAGTGACCCTGCAGTGTTCTGCTCTGTCATTGGCTGCTCCTCCTCATCAGTCTGCTCCTGCTGCCTCCTGCTGGAGGAGAAGAGAACTGCAGCTTCTACACATAGACACTGTAAAACATCCAGTCAGTGTATTTATATTCATATATATCCAGTGTGTATATATATATATATACTATCATTAGACTGTTAGGACATCTGGACAGTGGAGTACATTTACTCAAGTACAGTTTTGAGGTACTTTACTTGAGTATTTCCACGTCATAGTACTTCACCTTTCCCTAATACAGTGAAATATTTTATGGTACTTTTACTGATAACTGTCTCTCTCTCTCTCTCTCTCTGAGTGGAAGGAGTGTGGAGTTGACGGAGCGTGTTCGAGAGCGATTAACTGATTTTTTTCGGTATTTTTTCGTCACTAGTTAACGTTGGATGTGATGGTGTATCTCACGGTGTTTGTGTGAACATTTAGCTGGTTTTAGGGTCTTTGTGAGTGGTTGCAGTCGATCAGTGCGAGCTGGTCGGCGTGCTAAACGCCACCATGGACATGACCGACCTCACGAGGAAACACGGCATAAAGATCCCGCCGACTTTCCCGGTGTCAGTGGAGGAATGCAGCCTGGCTGTGGGTGAACTTGTTGGCCACAGCAGCGTTAAGTCCGCTGCGTGAATGAACAATGGCGTGGTCATCTTTCTAGACACCATCATACATGTGGAAGTGGTGATTGACAACGGGATCGAGGTGGGCGATAACTTCTTCCCCGTTTACCCTCTCTGCACACCGGCTGTGAAGGTAACCGTGTCCAACGTCCCACCGTTCATCAGAGATGAAGACATAACCAGAGAACTATCAAGACACGGGAGGATAGTGTCTAAGGTGAAGGAGGTGTCCTCTGGGTGCAGGTCTCCTCTCCTGAAGCACGTGGTGTCTCACAGGAGACAGCTGCTCATGATCCCAAACAACAGGAGCAAGGAGCTCAACCTAGTGTTCAGGATCAGGGTCGAGGACTTCGACTACCTCATTTATGCAACAACTGATGACTTTAAATGTTTCAGTTGTGGAAAAGTGGGTCATCAGAGTAGAACGTGTCCTGAGAAAAACAGCTCTCATAAGGACTAGAACCAGAATCAGAACCAGAGAGGTACTGAGGAGGGCAGAGGGGACAAGCAAGACGGACAGGACGGGACAGATGGGGTCCAAAAGAGCAGGGAGGAGGGGACGAGCGGGTTACAGGAGGTGAAGGAGGAGGGGACAAGTGAGACCCAGGAGGTGAGAAAAGAGAGGGAAAGTGAGGTCCAGCAGGTGAGGGAGAGTACTGGAGGACAGGTGGAGACAGGTAGGGAGGTGGACATGGAAGCAGACGAGGAGCAGCTCAAAGCCCCTCAGCTGACGAGGAAACAGAGAGGAGACAGCGGAAGCTCACAGGAGAAGAAAGTGGCAACGAAGGAAAGTGGAGGAGCAGCAGAGTGTGAGTCCAGTCTGGAGGAAGACTCTGAGTCCAGTCTGGAGGAGGACCCTGCTGCTGACAGTGAGCCCTCTAAACACGGTGCTGGCAGCTGTAGGAGCTCTGGAGACTACAGCGTGGAGAAGATCAAGTAAGAATGTGAGAGGAGCCAAAGTGGAGGACTACCTCTCTGATAAAGAGAAGCTCTCCAGCTCTGCCAGAGCTCACATGAGAAGCAAGGACAGAGGAGGTCTCACGAAGCAGGAAGGCTTCAGACTGAAGAAGATAGTTCACAAAGTGAACAAAGAACTGGACAAAGATGGAGCTAAGTGAGAGTCAGATCTCACAGTTTAAAGACAATCTCCTTCTCCTAGGAGGATTTTTAATTTTGAGATGTCATTAAATATTTCAAAATCTGAGATTTCAGAGTCAAATGTTTTTAAGTAGATGTTCCTAATTTTATTGAATGTTTCGCATTTTCGCAAGTGCATCTCTGTCTCAGCCTCACCGGTCCCACAGTGACCACATGTTCTGTTCTCTTTTGGTTGCCATGACTTTTTGTGTCTGCCTTTAGATGTCCAGTTTGTGGTCACTGAGCCTCTCTCTATCTCTCTCTGTGTCTCTCTCTCTCTGTACTTGGTGAGGTTCTGTCTCTGCTTTCTATCTCTGACAGTAGAGACATATTCTGCCTAGTCATCAGATCACATTCCAGTCTGCTTTGGCCCCCAGTTTCCTCTCTCCAGTGCTCCAGTGCTTCTTTACATCTCGCCATGATGTGTTTTACTCTGGTTGGTGTTTG